GCAAACACAAAGGGAAAGGAATGTGGTTTGATTCTCAGCAGCCATTTGTGGGGAGGAGCTTTGTGTGACGATGCTAAAACTGGCTGCGTAGCAGAGTAAGGGTCAAGGAAACTCTGAGGTGGATTCCCTGTTTTGATGATCCCTGCAGGCAGGGGCAAAGGGGAAAAATTTCACCAGCCACGTTGTAGCAAAGTTAGCACAACTGTACTCTTACTATACAAGTTCCAGAAGCTTGGAAATTCCCTGCTTCCAGATGGGGAGAAATTTTTTCCCCATTTATTTGCCCCTAAGATTCTTCTGCTTTTATTATGGATCTCAGGGTGTTCATTGGGCATCGGAGATCTAAGAATTCACGGTTTACTATGCAGAATTCTCCGACTAATGATTGGTAGCCTATGACTATTTTTACTCAGACGTGGAGCCTCATTTAAAATATTCTCCAGTAATGTTACACCTTTCTCCTGCTACTAGGATTCTTGATGAAAACCCTGGTAACTTGACAAGAAACACCCCCCACCAGGGCTGTCACCAAGAGCCAGGGGCTGGGGATTTTCCCTGGCTACTATGAGAGTGAGTCTTGGCTGCTCTTATAGGAAACAAAAGGGAAATAGACCCATGAAAAGAACTTCCTAGATGCACAATTCCCCTCCTGCTAATTGTATATACCCAGCAACCTGAAATTTTAGCAGTAGCCCTGCCCCGCCCCACCCCACCCCTTAACCAAAAGAACACTTCCAACTGATGGAAAAAGTAATAATAATGTTATGACCATCTCTCATAAAGCCACACTTGCATAATTAATCTCTATTTTAAGGCAAGGCAAAGAAGATGTTTGCCAGCATTACATTGGTTTTCAGCAGAAGAGAACTTACACAGGCCAAGATCAGTAATATTATTATTATAATGAAGATCTGTGGGTGTGTCCTGTACAGTTCACCAGCACTGTAAATTGTAAAATATGTATTGCAAGTTCTTTATTTCCTCTTTGTAGGTTCCACCCCTTTGTGAGGACTTATTATCATCTGTTGATCAACCACTTAAGATTGCTAGGGATAAAAGTACAGGAAAAGATTACCTTCTCTGTGACTACAATCGAGATGGTGACTCCTACAGGTTTGTTTTGTTGTCGAGCCCTATTCCAAATTTATGAGGTAAGCAGCAGCAGTAGCAAGCAAGTTGAGCAAATGTGATGCACAACATGGATGTGCTTATAAAGTTGCCAAGTAGAGTTTCGGGAAATCGCTCATTGATAATTTAAAAGATTGCTTTTGTTTGAATCAGTTAAATTAACCCTTGAGAGTTTAGTCTTCACATGTACAGCAACACAATAAGCACATCCAGCACCTGAAATTCATCATACATTTGCACCTTAAAAAGAACCAACCGACCTGGTAAGAGTCTTGTAGGCCTATCAAACCTTTTTTTCACATGGAACTTTGTTAACTGCTTAACAAAGTTTTCTGCAAATTAACCTTTTTTCATTGCTTGAAGACACAGAGCCTGTCCAAATTCAGTGACGGTTTATTAATTTGTTGAAAATTGAGAAGTGTATTCCCTTCCTATCATCCTGCGGCTCATGTATTGTCAAGTTTCCTGTACATGATCAGTCTGTTCGTTAGACCGCAAACACAAAGGGAAAGGAATGTGGTTTGATTCTCAGCAGCCATTTGTGGGGAGGAGCTTTGTGTGACGATGCTAAAACTGGCTGCGTAGCAGAGTAAGGGTCAAGGAAACTCTGAGGTGGATTCTCTGTTTTGATGATCCCTGCAGGCAGGGGCAAAGGGGAAAAATTTCACCAGCCACATTGTAGCAAAGTTTGCACAACTGTACTCTTACTATACAAGTTCCAGAAGCTTGGAAATTTCCTGCTTCCAGATGGGGAGAAATTTTTTCCCTATTTATTTGCCCCTAAGATTCTTCTGCTTTTATAATGGATCTCAGGGTGTTCATTGGGCATCGGAGATCTAAGAATTCACCGTTTACTATGCAGAATTCTCCGACTAATGATCGGTAGCCTATAACTACTTTTACTCAGACATGGAGCCTCTTTCAAAATATTCTCCAGTAATGTTACACCTTTCTCCTGCTACTTGGATTCTTAATGAAAAACCTGGTAACTTGACAAGAAACACCCCCCACCAGGGCTGTCACCAAGAGCCGGGGGCTGGGGATTTTCCCTGGCTACTATTAGCATGAGTCTTGGCTACTCTTATAGGAAACAAAAGGAAAATAGACCCATAAAGAGAACTCCCTAGCTGTAAAATTCCCCTCCTGCTAATTGTATATACCCAGCAACCTGAAATTTTAGCAGTAGCCCTGTCCCGCCCCACCCCTTAACCAAAAGAACACTTCCAACTGATGGAAAAAGTAATAATAATGTTATGACCATCTCTCATAAAGCCACACTTACATAATTAATCACTATTTTATGGCAAGGCAAAGAAGATGTTTGCCAGGATTACATTGGTTTTCAGCAGAAAAGAACTTACACAGGCCAAGATCAGTAATATTAATTTATTATTATAATGAAGATCTGTGGATGTGTCCTGTACAGTTCACCAGCACTGTAAATTGTAAAATGTGTTTTGCAAGTTCTACATTTCCTTTTTGTAGGTTCCACCCCTTTGTGAGGACTTATTATCATCTGTTGATCAACCACTTAAGATTGCTAGGGATAAAAGTACAGGAAAAGATTACCTTCTCTGTGACTACAATCGAGATGGTGACTCCTACAGGTNAATTCTCCGACTAATGATTGGTAGCCTATGACTATTTTTACTCAGACGTGGAGCCTCATTTAAAATATTCTCCAGTAATGTTACACCTTTCTCCTGCTACTAGGATTCTTGATGAAAACCCTGGTAACTTGACAAGAAACACCCCCCACCAGGGCTGTCACCAAGAGCCAGGGGCTGGGGATTTTCCCTGGCTACTATGAGAGTGAGTCTTGGCTGCTCTTATAGGAAACAAAAGGGAAATAGACCCATGAAAAGAACTTCCTAGATGCACAATTCCCCTCCTGCTAATTGTATATACCCAGCAACCTGAAATTTTAGCAGTAGCCCTGCCCCGCCCCACCCCACCCCTTAACCAAAAGAACACTTCCAACTGATGGAAAAAGTAATAATAATGTTATGACCATCTCTCATAAAGCCACACTTGCATAATTAATCTCTATTTTAAGGCAAGGCAAAGAAGATGTTTGCCAGCATTACATTGGTTTTCAGCAGAAGAGAACTTACACAGGCCAAGATCAGTAATATTATTATTATAATGAAGATCTGTGGGTGTGTCCTGTACAGTTCACCAGCACTGTAAATTGTAAAATATGTATTGCAAGTTCTTTATTTCCTCTTTGTAGGTTCCACCCCTTTGTGAGGACTTATTATCATCTGTTGATCAACCACTTAAGATTGCTAGGGATAAAAGTACAGGAAAAGATTACCTTCTCTGTGACTACAATCGAGATGGTGACTCCTACAGGTAAATAGTACTCTGTTTTCAAAAATAATAATATTGTTATTAACCCATTCGCCCCTAAACCATGATTTTTTGCCAAAAAGGGGTAAATAATGAAATCCATTAGGAAATTGAGTAATTTTAATTTTCAGTGGACAAAACCTTTTACCAGAATAATTTCAAGCATATTGCATTCTTTTTCACACTTTTCAAGGGCTATAAAGTAATAAGTTGTATAAAATAACTCTGAAGAAAAGGTTCTTATTGCAGCCCGAGAAACAAACTTCAAAAGCCTCAAATTTCACAAAATGAAATCTTGTGCATGACAATTTTACCTGTCTTCTCTCAGTTCCTGTGAAATGTGAAATTTATTTTCTCGGGCTCCCATAAGAAATTGTCTTTGGTGTTATTACTGATAACTAATTACATCTATAACCCTTGAAAAGTGTGAAGCTGTGGTTTATAGGACACTGTTGGAGAAGAAAGGATGAGGTGATAAGTGAACTACTACTCTGGGAACCAAAGCATGGTGCAAGAAGGAGAGGAAGACCAGCAACAACATATATAGACCAGCTGCGAGATGATACTGGTTTGAGCATTGCTGAACTGAAGAGCATCATGGGAAACCGGGAGGAGTGGTTGAAGCTAGTTAATGGAGTTCGAGTTCGCTCGAAATAAGCATGGCATAAAATATTCTGGTACAAGGTTTTTGTCCACTGAAAATTGAAATCACTCAATTTCCTAATGGATTCCGTCTTAAATATAATTATAACACTGTACAATCTTGCACTGTAAATCCCTGGAGGCTTTTCGGTTGTAGACTTAACAGTCAAGCTACAATCTTTGTTAGAAGTGGTCAACTAGCCTAACCCTACAAATGCAGACATATTTCCAGCTTTTGTCACTTTTTTCACCAAGCCACCAGTGCTTGCAGCCATTCCTTGTCAGGAGAGATGTGACAGGTGGAAATGCTCTGCTTTCTCAGACTCAGCCACCTTTGTCCCTGTAGCTTTTCTCATCACGGCAAAACAAATTCAAATGGTTTAATGTTTTATGTTTCTTCTTAGATCGCCATGGAGTAACACATATGATCCTCCTTTGGATGATGGAGCAGTGCCCTCTGACAGATTAAGGAAGTTAGAAATTGATGCCAACACTGCTTTTGATCAATACAGGGAAATGTAAGTCAAGCTTGTCACAAGTTTGCGGAGCTCGCAAAAAAACTTGAATTTAAGCCTGTCCTTTGGGCAAGCAGCTTTCACATTTTGCTTACCTGGGGCCACTTCTTGCTTGTCTTAGTTAATGATTTTGTCAGAGGATAACTTGCCTGCAGGACCCTTGGCCGTAAGCCATGATTCCTACAATCTTGAAAAGGTCTTGAATTTTAGTAGTCGTCTTGAAAAGACCTTGAATTCAGTTTAGGTCCTTCAAAAGTACTTGGTTTCTTTATTAGGTCTTGAAAAGTCATTGAAATTCACAACCTTGTCTAAGCCAGAGACCTTTTTCTTTAAAACTGGATTATTTTGCCAAGGAAAATTTGGCTCATTCTCCCCCTTTAGCCAATAGGGCGATCATAGGAGCTTAAAGAATGCAAATTTATTAAATAAATCTTAGTCCTTAAAAGCTGTAATTTGTCCTTGAAAAATCCTTGAAAAGTCCTTGAAATTTGTTTGTCTGAAGTTGTACGAACCATGTAAGCTTTAAAAGTTACCTGCCCTGCTTGAAAATCTACTTGTCCAGACCACTGGACAGGATTTTTTTTTAGCCATGGATTGTTGTCATGTTGTATCATAATAGAGCAATTTCCTTTTTGAAGCAGGTGTTTAAATAGCCCTTGAATGTAAAGCATGTTGTGGCCGTTCTTGGCTTTGAAAACTCTTAGTTACTTTAGCACCCTTCACTTATCTTTTAGCTTCTGTTGTCTATATTCATGTCTAATGAAATATAAATACTCATTGTTTTCATTAACTTCTGTATCTTCCATTGAAAAGTGAAATAAACCTGACTTGACTGGATGTTTTATTTGTATCGTATACATAGGTATTTTGAAGGTGGTGTGTCATCAGTTTATCTCTGGGATTTAGATCATGGATTTGCCGGCGTGATCCTCATCAAGAAAGGTTAAACTTGTCAGCTTTTTGGCTAGCTATTACACTTCTGTGGAACTAGTTAAAAAAACTCTATGAAGGGAAAAAATATTAAAATAAACCAGTCACATCACAGTGCAAGAAGACTACATGTAGGGGATCTTCATGTAGACAGTAACATTCATTTCATGTGGTGTAACAAAGTTAGTTAGGACATAGTGATATCAAAATGGACTGATAGCAGACATCCAGTCTAACAGGAAAAATAGCATACACGTAAAATGTATGTATAGACTTGTTTTCCTCATTCCTTAAGTGTCGTATTTATGTGCTCTGTTTTAAGCGAACAAAAAGTAACTAAGAAGAGTCAAATGTAAAATTCTGTCCTGTGCTGAAATCTCCTTATGTAGGATTTATTCAAAGGCTCCTAATTAAATGTGGCTTATTTCTTTAACAAGGTAGTTCTTTTATTTTATATTTTGTTAAAGAAATAAGATTTCTGTCTACCAGTATAAAATGCTAATAATGATAATAATAATTTGTATTGTATTGTTGTCATGCTAAAGGCAGCCATGGACTCCTCATCTTTGGAGCATTACTATTGTTAGTAATATTGTGTCAAAGTGAAACTGCATTTAGAAGGAGTGAATTGCCAAACAGAAAATAATTCTTTTAATTCCTTTTAAGTGAGAGGAAGTACTCTTTTCTTTGTGGTAAAAAGGTTTTTGCTTATGCATGTACTTTTATTTTAGCTGGTGATGGATCAAAAAAGATCAAAGGCTGCTGGGATTCTATCCATGTTGTGGAGGTTCAGGTATGTGTGGTTTGGTTGCCTTTAATGAGCTACATAAACAATAAAAATAATGGGATTTTTGGACACCTTGCATTACTGATTTTGTATTCTCAAAGATTTTCTTGATAGGTTAGTGTTAAATGTGTTTGTGCTGTTACCTTTCAGGAGAAAAGTGGTGGCCGACAAGCCCATTATAAGCTTACTTCAACTGCTATGCTTTGGCTGCAGGTATAAATCTATCATTGAACAGTTCGAAAAGAGTACTGCAGGGATGTAGACCCCGGTGTTGTGGTCAACCTTCACACATCACGTCATTCACATCATGGGCTTGGTGGGTGTAGTAAGCTCACAAATGGACTGAGAGCGGCTGCCAGTGGCGCCTTTGTATGCTGACGTCCGAGCTTACTGTTCACATGTTAAATGTATTGTAAGAGGGCACGTCTGTTGTCCTCTCATCCCAGCTCTTCATTCTTCATTCATTCCTTCATTCTCCCTATGATTTCCATGCTTTTCCAAACAAATTAGTGAGGAAACATGATCACACAAGATAAATATATCTGACATCAAATTCTCCCCACTTCTTATAGGGACAACAGATAAGAACTTAAACTTTGATTCTACGGTTTAAAGGTTTAAGACCCTAGTTGGATGGCCAATTTTTTTGTTTGTATTTTTTCTCTAGACTAATAAGGCAGGATCAGGAATGATGAATTTAGGAGGGAGTTTGACAAGACAGGTAATAGGTGTTTTTGTCACTTTTTGATTGACAGGATAAGGCACTGTTCTGTAACTTGAAAATAAAGAAAACGGTCAAGGTTGACACTGTCCTTGTAACAGGGCAGAAAAAACCCAGGTGCCATTGCCCAGGGCAAGTAAGTTTTGACTGTGGGGAAGTAAAAATAGAAGTTTGGTGCCCCAGTGGGCAAGTGAAATAATAGCCTCAGTGGTTCTGTGAGTCTGTCTAAAAGTGTCAAATTTCCAGACAGAAACTACCGTAAAATTCCGAAAATAGGCTCCGGGGCTTATATTTTTCAAAGGCCCTTTTTGAGGGGCTTATATTCGGAGGGGCTTATCTATGGAGGGAAATTTGTGTTTCAAAATCGATTGGGCTAGCATGTAGTGGGAAGGAAATTTACCATTTTTGCTTTGTTTTACTTTGTATTCGAGGGCCAATTCCAAGCACAAGCCCCCTGGGGGGCTTATATTCGGAGGGGCAATTTAATGAGGGTTTTTTGCATTATGATTTTGGGGGGCTTATATTTGGAGGGTCTTATACATGGAGGGGCTTATTTTCGGAATTTTACAGTATTTCAAAACTGAAGACTGCAAGGTGACTGACACAATTAGTTGAAAGCATGAATATATCTGTATAAAATCCAAGTGCAGGTTTGCTTGCTCATGTTATTTCTCTAGGCCCAATATTGGTCAAATACAATAGTTACTCTGTATCTGGCTCCACATTTAGTACTAGTAATATCATGCACTTTGTTTTAATTTATAACTTATTATAGACAGTACCTTAGAACTGTAGATGATAAGGTATTGTGTTCCTTTTGGGCAAGCAATATTTAGGTGGGTGCTAGTGAAAACTGAATTGACTTGTGCACTGGGCACTTGGATTTCAATTTTTTTCCACCCCTTTTATAATATTGCACTAAAACAAAGTTTACTTTTAGGTTGAAGCAGACAGTGCTGTGAGTGATGCTAGTCCTCATATTGCTAACATTGGAAGGCAGGTTGAGGTATTGTCTAATTTGAAAAGTATTTTACCCCAGGTGTTATTTCATGTCATAGTAGTGTACTCAGCATTGCAAATTTATTCTGTCCTGTTTTTTTCTTTTTCTTTTTTAAGGAAATGGAAAACAAGATGAGAAATACTCTGAATGATATATACTTTGGCAAAACAAAGGATATTGTGAATGCCTTGAGGTAAGTGTGTCATAAAAGATGTGTGTAGTTTGACGTCACATGTGCAGTTTCTTTTAACATCAGTGAGCTTGATAAATAACATAGTGTTGATAGATCTAAGCAGAGTGTGGAACATTGAACAAAAAAAAGAAAGAGGCTGCTGCCTGTTCAGACAACATAATTTTATTATTGAATAATAAGTGCTGAGAAGCAATCTTTCTCTGTGGTTTTTTTTCTTTTGGGGGGTGGGGATGGGGGTGGGGTGAGGGAGGAGTTCTTGAACAGGGATAAAAGATGAACAAGAACTTTTTAATGAGCAAATGTAGTTAAGAAAGACAATATTAAACTTTCCTTTTCCCAGATATTATTGCTAAGGTGTTTTTTGCGAGAGCTTTTCTTTATGTATGATAAGATGCTGACATATGTACCAGTTGCATGAAGGAAACATGAAAATTCTTGATCATTGCAACCTACTGAGTGCTACTGCCTTTTCTAAAAGAAAGGGAAGGTTACATGACCAAACAGGGTGCCCAGGTTCATCACGTAAGGTATAGAAAAGTCCAAATGAAAATGCGCCTTTTTTCAGGGTGTTAACAGTTTAGTGATTAGGATATTAAATTTCTCTGGGCTAAAACCCACCTGGGTATTAAAGCACTGAGGGAAAAGTGAACTTTGTGATAACAAATTGCAGCAATTTAAAATTGAGCCTTCTTACTCCCTCTTATGCAAGCTATAACAATAATTCAAAATACTTTTCATTAGCCTAGTTAAATTGTAACACAATGCATTTGTCTTGCAGGAGTGTAAACAGTCTTGCTGATCAAGGAAAACAGAAACAAATGCAACAGGAACTCTTCAGTGTTCTAAAGAATCGTCAGAAGTAATTTTATGAAGTTAGGCATTGCTCTTATTATACTTGACAATCAAATAGGTTAAAGGAGATTTCTAG